CGCTACTTTTTCTTATGTCTTCTCTTCTATTCGTACTATTTTAATAATTTTTTAATTCTATCTAACAGGTACGTGCGTACTCTTCATGACGGATGCGAGGTGTTCGAAAAATTCGATCAGGAGTAACTCGCGCAATTTCATTAATTCGTGGCATAATGGAAACCAAATGCTATCCTCGAAATTAGTTTCCGTTTTTTTCTCGTGTACAATGTCAACATGGCAACAACAAACTTAACAATCTGAAGACAAAGGTAAATTCGAGACTTCGCAAAGGATAAACTAGAAGCAAAGTTTGTACTGTAAATACCTATATTGATCGCGAAAAAGTATTTCATAATATATTTTTTTTCTTTTGCGCGATTCTCTACAGCCGATAAAAAAATCGACAATCTGCGAGGTCATCAGCTTATATTTCCTAAGTCATTTGCTACGTCAGCGAAATACAATTTGCTCGAAATTTATATGCGAGAATCGTTTCTATATTCATGTAAAAGGAAATCTTGAGTTCGAGATGACACTCATGAAAAATGTGTATTTATTTATTTGCAGTATATGCTCTCTCTAAGAATCTACAGCTATCTAATCTAAATATAAATATCTAATTTTGCTAATTCGAAACCATTAATTATTATTTCATGAACATTCAGCTATGTGTTTTAATAGCATTGCGTATAAAAATGGAAACAAATACGGTTTTTTTTTCTTGCGGAATCTTGTTCTAGAGCTGGCTTAATTTCTGTGTCATCTCGAACACGTTAGGAGGGGAAGAAAATGATTCGGAAAAAATCCTTATATAAATAGGAATACTGGAAGATAAAAAAGAATGGACTATAAGATGGAGAGAAAACTAAAACACCCTCGCGATCCGTCCGTCAATCTTCTCTGAGCTTTCTTCTCTGAGCAATTTTTGATGAAAAAGATCCTTGCCTAGAGAAGACCTACAACTTTATCTTTATTACAAAAAAAAAACAAACAAAAAGGAAATAAAAAAAAGGAATAGGGAAAAATGCATCCTTAGGGCTGACATCCAATATCGAGACCCGATTCTTTATCGCACGTTAAATATATCTACGATACGACTGAAGAACCGACCTCAGTCAACCTACTATCTTCATTTTTATATTTCATATTACATTTATCTCTTCTTCTCTCAATTTGGCACGATACAGAGAACTCACAGGTCGGACACACGTGCAAACAAAAAATGCGACAAAGCAAAAGTTCACGCGAGAGGAGGCCTTTCTCGTTTCCGTAGGAAACGAAATTTGCTGCGAGGTATACATTGTCGAGTTTCCTTTCGTTCATCCTATGGTCTATTGCTTAATTTATCATCGGTTTAAAGCAAAGGAACACTCTTCGATCAAACGCGAGAAGTCTAATCGGAAAGAATTAAAAGATTGCTCGTCAATTAAGAAAATTAATGAACGATCCTTTATCATCCTTAGCCTCATTAACATTCGCTTATTATATTCGCAATTTATATGAATATCGAATGGTGTTTATTCTTATATATTTCTGAATGATATGCGATTTGAAGAAAAGTAGTAAATCTTGTGAATTTAGAAACATGCAGATTGCGAGTTAGTATTTTTAGAGTATTTTTTTTATCAAAATCCGCGACTTCTCGCGTTGATTTCTCGTGCATGCATGAGAAAAATGTATATGGATTATTAGAAATCGTAAAAATAGTAATAAATATTAATTCACTGCTATTAATTCTAATAAATGACGAGCATATTATTTTTGCTTGATTTTTCGGGTCGGTTATATATAATATCATGACCTGTGACTCTTGGCGATGACTTTAACTATACATTTCACATAATAAATCTATTTCAATATTTAGCGTAGAAAAAAATATGGAGACGTTAAAAAACGTCTTATACGGAATATGATAAATGTCGAAAACGCTCGAACGCGGTAGTGAGGACAAATTTTTAAAAGATTGGAATTTTCTAAATTAAATAAGAGTCTAGATTGACCAGAAATAGCTAATCGTGCGCGACATATTTACATATGCCCTTGATATATTGATTCTTGAAAAATTAATGCGAAATACAAAAAAGTCTATAAAAAATATACAAAAGATTGTCAATGTTAATTATCTTCAGAAATCTCTCGCGATCTTTGACTGAACTTTAATGTGTCCTTCACGATTCACGGATCCCCGATCGCCGGGATCGCGAAATTGTCGCGGTCGCCCGTGTTCCGAACTGCATTATTATGTTGCATATGAATGTCTGTATGTGTCGTGTACACACATACATGTGTACTTATAAATATATATCATAAACTCGCGATTAAAAATATCCCGTGTCGTTAAATTAATAATAGTTTCTATTTAGTTTAACTGTATCCGTCTGCGTGTCATGTGTATGTATAGTTGCACGTATGCGTGTCCATGTATGTGTACATGTGTCTATTGTCTCATTAAAATCTCAGTTCGCGCGATTTTTCCTCTGACTCTTTCGCCTAAATTTATTCTTTACGCTCATCGACTATGTATCTCTAATTCATTGCCGTTTTATTTTTTTATTCATCTCATCCGGCCATTGTTACTATTTTTAATTTGAATCTGAGCTATTTGCGGGTGAAATACGCGCACACACATATTTGTGCGATAAAATTTTTTTCTATATGTCAACTGTCGATGAGCACATTGCGCGCGCATGTATGTATTGTTTCTTGAAAGGTTTTTACCTTCGCGTTCATTTTTCATCTTTCGATCATAAAAAGTATGCATACAAACGAATACTGTTACCTACAAATGTAATGAACACATTGTTTCTTTTTTGCGCGTACATATATAAATATATATATATATATATATATATATATATATATGTATAATAATATAAAAAATCATCTCTGAAGATACTATGTTTTTTCACTCGCATCTTCAGCCGATTTCTATAGCATGTCGTTTATTTGTATGTCATACATAATTATACGTATTATTATTTAGGTATATGTATATATTGTTGCTCTTATTTATGCATCTAAGATAATTTTATTATATACATATATCTATGTATATATGTATATATATATATATATATATATATATATATATATGTTTGTAGATATATAATTATGTATGACATATATATATATATCGTAATTGTTATATAGCATCTTACTTCCTTTTATAAGCTGTGCTCAAAAGTTAACATCTCATTAGGACAGTGTAATATAATTATCTTGATTTACGAAATGCCGGCAGCGCGCGATGCTATATTAAACTAAAGCTGATAACATTGATATGAGAGTAAATATAATAATAGTAATAATATTAATAGTTATTATTAATTATAAATACCGTTAGAGCGGTAGTTATCTTCTTTCTCTCGTGTCAATATGTTTTTAATATATATGTATATAAATATTTATTCACATCTATATATGTTAAATATATGCAAATCTATATACATATGTATATGCATAAAACTTTATCGATATTATGAAGTTGAAAGTACTTTATGCTCGCGAAACATGTCTAACGCTGGTTATTTCGCGCGATACTCCTATGCATATATATCTTGCTCTGCAAAACGAAGTAATTAATTAATTAAAATCAAGGAAGACACGTGCTGATATCTGCGCGATATCTCAAAACGATATCAAAAATTAAATTTCTCTTTCGACGGAATCGAATCGTATTATTAAAAAATAAAAAATAAAAAAATTGATCAATTCCGCGTTATATCCACTTCCCTTCTCTGCCGGTCGACGACGGCCGAAAGATGAAGCAATTCAAAAAGAACGATTTGCCGCGGTAGCATCTTCATTTTATTGCACCCAATAGAATACGCGATGTTAGCTTTACAGTCCGGCTCTATTTTCTAAATGCGACAAGTCAGGGAATCAAAATTCCGGATGCAAAAGAAATGAGAAAAAGCAAATATATTTTTAAAAGGAACTCGATGGAAAGAATGATTCGACTCAAATGGCGAAAAGTAAAAAAGATATGTAGAAAATACGAAGAAAAAGACTTGTGCTAATTATAATAAAAGTAAAAGTAGATCAAGTTGTATGTGGCATGTGTCAATGTGTCGCCTCACGTGTAGAGTATGTATATATACGTATGTGTGTGTCTCTATCAGGAAAACCTACTCTCCCAATTATTGATGTATTTCAATTGTACGTGAGAAAAAGCGACATATTATATAAAGCAAATAATGGATACGCCACAAATACGTATACGTGGACACCCTGTCAACTATTTCTACCTATCCCTCTTCTTGACTGACTCATCATCTCATGCATCGTATTTCTACCTACCTATTTACTTGCTTCACTTAATTAGGTTGTGCATAGCCGAAAGCGGCTATTTAATTTTTCGCACAGGTTGCTAAAAAAGGCGGGAAGATAGTGTTCTTTATTTTTCTATCAGGGTGGCGCGACGGTCATCGCCGAAGAGATCTTTTCCGTAGGAATTAAATCGCGAAGAAATATGGGAAAGGGAGATACTATCAGTTAATTCGTGCCTTAAACTAGGTACCAACTGTGTCCGTGTGCGCAATTAAAAGGAGAATTTAGAATGCGCTGAATACCTGAGAGCCAAATCTCAAAGAGAGAAGTTTGTTTTGTGTCCTGGAAATATTTCGGATCTTTATATCCCACTATATCCTAGTATCTCTTCTCGTATTCTTCTTGCTGACGAATTGTCGTCGCCAATTTCACATCAAGGATTTTGCTAAGTTTACATAGTTCGGGATAATTAAATGTTTACGGTAGATCACACGCGTGAAAGAGTAGAGACCTCGCATAATGATGATCATCGATTCATCGCGCACGAGAACGATTTCGCTTTTTCTGGGTCAATGATACGAGGAACTCGCGCAATTCTTTTTCCTCGTGATCGGTACAGGTTTTGGAAAAAAATCGATTGCCAGCGACTGAAGTACGCGTTTTTCTCACTTTTTTTATCTTTAATTTTTCTTTTATATATATATATATATATATATATATATATATATATAAATATACGTAGAGTGGTCTCTAAAAAGTGGTTAGAACCGGTACCAACAGACCTAAGACCGGCGAACCGGTCGGGAACCGGTAGTCAGGTTGTTGAGCAATATCGTGATAAGGTCCCCTCCGACCGCTCAACCGATTCGCTTTATCTACGCGACGGAAATTAAAATGCATTCGCCAATGATTCGCTGAAGTGCGGCAGATCGAACGTTCCGCGTGAAGATTGACATGAAGCGAATCGGTAAAGAAATGCGATATTAAAGACTAGATACCGCATATTTTTAATCAAGCCGATGAAAGCGGTATCAAGGAAGAATTTTCATGGAGCAGATCGAAGGAATTTTCAACTTTCGCATAATTTATCACGTTCATCTCAACATCTGATTATTTCCGTGCCCGTAAAAATTTCATGTCGATTCATTTACGCGCACTTCGTCGTTAGCGATGCTGTTTTATTTGTTCATACAACGAAACAGCTGTGTAAAATTCGCACAAATTAAGAATAGACGTAAAAAAAAATTGTACAATACACTTTTTCATTCTCTCTTTTTTATTTGTCACACACGCACTCTCTCTATATCATCACTTGCACTCCCTTAAATAATAATATCGTGTCCCCGCTCCACAGTTCTCACAATTTTAAGATCTTTGGCGTACAAATTATTACGTCCCTTTTCACTTTTGTGGCAGGATTTTATATTACACAATTTCGATTCACACGTCGATGTCGTTTACGTCACGTGAAATCGATCCGGTTCCTGCTGTGAGACTGCTAACGGATTTTCCTACTTCAATATTGCTGTTGCAGACGACGCTGTTTGTCTGCTTCCCGCCTGAGTTCTGTGAGTCGCTGCTTGAGTAGTATGTTTCGACTCCGTTGTTTGGCGAATTCCTTCGTCAGACTATCGTTTGTTGTTTGTAGCGTCTGGATGTCTGCGAAGGCCCCGTTCAAGATAGCTACCTTTGATGCTTTCTCTTTCTTCGCTATCGATGGCACTGTCGCCTTCAACGTATCGAAACAGTTCTTCAAGCTTATTCGACGCTGGCGCTCCATGTCGTTATGTAGATGCCTCTTGTCCGCCTCATCGTCATCGGCCCGACTCCAGTTCTTCGTGTTTTGCCGTTTTTGTTCCCGTTGATACGGGTGAGCACGGGTCCGTTTTAGAGAGGAATCGCACGTCTTATTCAAGCTGTTGATCTGTGCGGCTATCTTTCGTTTTACAGAGTTCGGACCTGGAGGTCTACCACGGGGTCGGCGCACATCCGTCTTGACTTTGTTAGCGGCCAACTGATTTGCATTGTATTGCTTCTGTGCGAAGCTCAAGGCCAAGTCATTTGCGTCGGGTTGTTTCTGCGGGAAGTTTAAGGCCAGCTGACTTGTACTGAGTTGTTTCGGTGTGAAGTTCAAGGCCAGCTGGCGTGCATCGTGTTGCTTCTGCGCGATATTGAGGTATGTCGTCTTCTTCTCGTACGACACCACGTCGATTTCCTCGTCTGCAACAGAATCGATCGATTCATCTATTAAATATCGTTACGAATGTAAAATCATCAGTACGAATGTAAAGATTATCATATTAAACGGTACATATCACGCAAACAGTATAATTCACACTCACATAATACAATACATATAATAATCTCTACGATTTGTCAGCTTTGATCAATTTCTTTCTTTTTTTTTTCTAAAAATTAAATAAATAGCATATGAAAATAACATATAAATAATTTTTTTTAACGTATAAATTAGCATTGACATCAGTCTGAATTTTCGCGTAATTTATATTTAAAGAAAAAAAATAATGTGGCATTATTAAATTGCGCAAGCTATTTATATCATCAGATATTCAATCGAATGACTGTTGGAGCAAGTAACAGAATGCTATCTAAATATAAAATTCTGATTTGCATTTTTCAAAAATATCCATGAATAATCATGCATAAGAATGTTAATCATAAGCTAATTAATCATAAGCAGACTCGAAAACTAAAAGTTATCACTTTTTTGTAATAAAAATATCTTTGCGTTCAGAGTTAAAACCGAAAAGTAGTGTTTTGAAGTACATAAAAATATCATTAATATTGCGAAATCAATTTCTTTTTATATTCGAAATCGAAAAAGATTGTAATAAAATAAATATCGTGAAAATTAAAAAAAGAAAAATAAAAAGAATATTATATAATATTTATTATATTATAAAAATTATATTATTATCATTGTATTATTATTGTATCATTATGATTTATATTATATTGTATCTCTCTCATTTTTATTTATTATGATTTATATTATATTGTATCTCTCTCATTTTTACATGACTATTATTTATATTGAATTATATTGTATTATATTAATATTATGTTATTATTTCAATATATATACTTTACATTATAAAAATATATTTATTATATTATTAACTTTCCCTTAAAAAACTGCAAACATTATTTTCAAGTGAAAATTAATCAGAGCAAATATTAAAATTGCAGTGAATTAGGTCATAAAAAATTAATGGGAGCTCTTTTGACAGCAACGAATCCTTTGAATCACATGGCCACGGAGGCGGTTTAGGATGACATACAAAACCGTGGGCGTTTCTGCAAACCGTATCATTCGCGGCGCCTGGCACAATCGGTGGAAATCCGGTTGGTCCAGATTTTTCTACGAATGTAGTCGCTAATTCTCTCATTTCCGATTCAGCATTGTTACATTCACACGCGTAGGGAAAATAGTCTCTCTCACGATGTCCTTCAGCCCTAATCCGTTCACGTTTTCTCAATTGTCGTAATATAATTCCATCTCAACGATCGCATCCACCGCGCAATTTATCTTATCTTTATTGAGTCAATTTTCATTCGCCTTTAAAGTGATTCATACGTAATAAAGCGCAAATAGGCTGTTATAAACATGGGTTATTATACATCTCTGTTTCCCGAGTCGTGATTGCCGCGCGCATCAAGCATTCCTCCGTTTCCATTTCCTTAGCAACTCGTAAAAGCAGAGTGCTCGGTTGACTTCGCCACCGTCCTAACATTTTAATTAACGAAAAAATTCACTTTACGCAGAAAAAAATTTTGTTAGCACGTATTTTATAATTCTCGCTGATTAATAAATTCACCGAAATCATAAGCAATTTTATATCTTACAGTCTTTAAGCACAAGACTACTGTTTATATCCAAGGACTACGTTTATGACGTAAAAATGAAGAATTAAAATTGTTTATAAATATTACTTTAATTGCTTATAAAAATATCTTTGTTAAGTGACATATTAAAATATATTTATCAGCAATTATTTTCGAAATTATTTCAACACGAGAATCAAAGCAAATAAGTTTAAAGCGCAACACTAGAAGAGCAATTGCATTCGCGTGAACACCAAGCATTATAGAAATCCACGTTAATGTAGCAGCTTAGAAGAAGAATTCAATTAAAGTTGCTCGCTTTTGGAACTCTCGTCTTGCAACGTGCGTGCCCTTTCTGGCGCTGCTCCACAGATGCCGTAACATTTCAGTCGGAGCTCGCAAACGAGGACAAGCGGAAGGAGACGTTCCCGGAGGAACGAGGAAGAAAACGAGAGAAGACGTCCGTCAAGCTCGCGCGCGCAGCCACCGATATGCACGTGCACGAAAGCGATCTCACGTCAGTGCGTCACCACGTGTTCGGTGCGCTCGGGAATATGAATCTCGCGCCGAAGTTGGCGCATCGCCAGGACGTCGTCGCCCGCGGTGGAAAAGGTGCGAAAAATCTAAAAATAACGGCACACTAACTAAATTGGTAAGGGAGACTTTGGTTTAGTCTCTCTGTCTCTTTCTTTTTCTCTTTGTGTCTACCTGTGCCTTTATTCTGGCGCCTCTATATCTCCGACCCAGTAACATCTTAATAATACTTTAAATAATAAAAAAAGTCAAGATGCTTTAGCTTAAATATAATTACAAGAATATATTTTTAATAAATTAAATATGTCTGACTCTAAGATTTTTTCCAGTTCTTCTCTTTGTAAAGAAACTATGACATAATATTCTAAAATCAAATACAGAATTTTACGGTCGTTGACTCACTGGGCAAGTATCTCCTCAGATTTTTCACGGTATTTCGCGATGTTTATCTTCCCAATATATCTTTACGATATATTTAATTACACGTACGCGTAAAAACATGTGCATGTGCATCTGCATGCGTGCATGCGTGCACGTGGCGAGTGGGAATCACGCGAGAACGTCGGGAATGCGGAAGTAAGATGCTGCTCGCACAACGGAATGTTAGAATATATGCTAATAATCGTTAAGGCGTAGCGGAATTTATGACGTTTGTATCTCCGTGCGTTCGCGTGCATCATGATATCGCGCGAACATAAAGCAAGAACTCGTTCACTGACAGAAGGAACGACGGCGATCTTACGTCACTGCTTCCTAATTCATTAATCGATAATCGCATGTCGACTCCGCTTACAAACGTTAAAGTACTAATTGAGTCTTACGAGGACGCGTGATGAAGAACCGAGAGCAGCAGCGAGCGTTAAGCTCGAAATTGATCCGGCTCCCTCCGGGTGACTCTCGAAGCGAACTTCGCCGTCTCGGCAACGTGGTTAATTAACATGTCAGTACTATATCACAGTCGATAATTCCTTCCACAGGGTGCCATTTCACGTGTCGATCGCGTAAAAATGTCTTCCTCGCACAAACAGCGCGTGGTGTAACACTATACGTTACGTAACAAAAATTAGCGTTTCATTTCAGAGAACCGCACGACGAGGAATTCCTGACTTGGCTGAGAGTCTTCACTTCGCGCTCCATCAGAGATCCCTGACCGACATCTTCCGACACGCGTACCTCGGAGCGAGATTTTACGAGTAATCTCGGTATCTCGTGAATGTCACACGCGCCATCGTCGAGTAAGGAGGCCGCAAAAGTGGTCGGCGGCGTCTCGTCGCCGATGCAGCGCGGTAGGTTGGGAGGAGAGAGAGGGGACTCCGAGAGCGAGTACTCTACGCGAGACCGGCGAGGAGGAGAGTGGAGGGAAAAGCGAAGCGGGGGGGGGGGGCAACGTCAATTCGCGGCAGCACGTGCAGCCGCGTAAGAACGACCTTGGGGGTCAGTGCTCTCCTCTCGCGTAAGCAGGCCATAGTACATAGTACGTCGACGCGAATCGATCGTCTCTCCTCTCTCTCCCATTGAGATAGGCGACGCGACGTCGATAAAGGAGAGCGTGGGAGGGAGGAAGGGTGGGAGAGGGGCGACGAGGGGAAGGGGGGAGGAGGATTCCTCTCCGCGTCGTCGTATTGAGCGCGACGCCTCTGCCTAGGGGAGAGTTTGGGCGTGGATCTCCGGGGTGAAAGTACTCCCGCGCTTTTCCAGGTGGCATTCCTCCTCTTCCGGTCTCTCTACTTTTTCGCAGGTCTTTTTCTCCCGAGAGAGATCCCGCCCAGCACGGATCAACAAACGCGTGATTCCAGGGTCTCTCTTGTCAGGTTATTAGAAGTGGGATATTTTATATGCGCGTGGAGTATTTTATATGGCAATAATAATTAATATAAAGCTATACGAATTTTCTTCAAGTTAATCAAAAGAAAGTCTAATAAAGAAATTAGGATTATATAATTTGAAGTGTCGGTGTTAATTATTCGTAAATTTTTTTCATAAAAATAATGAATATATATTCATAATGATTTTAAATAACTAAGAAAATAAGATTATGTTTGAAAGAAATAGATGTAGCATTTTCTCAGTTTAGATAAAGTTGAGCACTCAACCCAATTTACATCTTTATTAGGAATTGTGGATTGATTAGAAAAGTTCAGACAAGAGCAAACATAAATACTTTGATAAGAAGGAGACATAATCTAATCAGAGAGAATAACACGTATGTACAATTAAGGGTTTGCGAGAGTATCGCGCAATATCTGTCACGTCGATAAAATTCTCGAGTACGCTGATGATGTTGAGTTTCGTGTTTCATGCGATAATCACGTAAGTTCCTCGATACCCGACGACCCGCGCGTCGATAACAACCGATTATGCCGAGATGTATATGCGATGATTCGCATCTACATGACCTATGCGAACTTCCCTTCGAGCGGCTTTGACGTATTTAGAGCCGCCGTCTTTCAGTGATTATCACTTTCTCCCTCACCACACACAACACTTGGAGATATAGGCGAGACCCAGAAGAGATATTCCTCTACGATCTACTTCTGACGACCCGAATCAACTCTTATTCTTATTCGCGGGTTCGTAGAATTGACACTTTCTTCATTCATCGAATTCTCTAAAGATTCCTGATCTTCCAGAATGACATTACATTAATTAAACTTAGCAAAGTCAAATTCTATTAATTAATTAAGAGCGAAGATAATTTTTTAGAAAATTTAGGAAAATAATTATATAAATTTCAATAATTTATTAATTATTCTCCGATTTTACGTGCTTGCATTATGTAGCATAAAAATGGTTCCGAATTTTTCATGCAAATTCGCGATAAATTCGCTGGAATTCAAGCA